GAGTTCTAAATTATTTAATTAAAACATCTTAACTATAAGAGTGAAAAAAATCAGAGTCTGAAACCTTACCTAGAGCAAATTATGATACAATCTTCCTGTAGAGAAAAGCCTATGTACATTTACCAGGTATACGTAGCTATATATAGCTACGGCTAATTGTATTAGAGTAACAAAGTTATAATGTCAAACCAAAACTACTTCGGATGGTTATATGACCGAAATGCAAGACTGCTGGGACAAACCATTAAATTACTTAGCTTTTCATACGAGTAGCTATTTTAGGAAAAAAGACCTTGGCAAAAAATTAGGAAAACATTTTGACAAAATTGTAAAATTGGGGCTTAGAAAAGAGTGAGTTGGAAAAAAACCTAACAGATGTTGTGTTTTCGTTATTTTATGCCTATAGCCTCAATTTCCTGCTTTTCTCTCGTGATTAGGGAGCAAACACCAATATTCTCAAAACACAAGTAATCCTGAGATTTTCTTTGGTAGCTTTCAAAAGATCTTTATCTCCAATTTTAATGACAATCTGGGAATATTTATTGAAATATTAGGAAAAATCATTTTATTTTGCTTGAGGACAGAGTGCTATTTTAAGGCATCATTTTAACCATGTATACTGTATGTGTGTACAAAGAAAAATCACCAGTAATCGTTTCAAAAAATTAACTATTAAAAAACAGAATATCATTTTTTTTTAAATTTTCAGATTATAATATAATTAATCAATTGTTTTATCATTTTTCAATAAACACTATTAACAACCTACAGATACCCCCGAATTTCTCTTTTACTCCAGAATACAGTTCTACTTCTAGCTAGCTAGTAAACAGCTGCTATATGTATCAATTTGTTTTCTGCCTTATACAAATGTACCTGACCAGTATTTATGGTGAATTATTGATCAAAGTAAACCGCCGCAGTATTGGTCCTGTATAATCTCTATATTCAAACAGACTTTTACTGCTCGTTTCATTAAATGGTCTTTGAACTAAATTTGTAACATGCACCCGTGCTAATTATAATGGAAGAGCAAGACCCGTGTGTATCATCTTTGTGTGGCTTCAATGAATGTTAATTCTGTACAGTAAATAATTCATGATCAGGAACCCTGACTGTTTTGATGTGTGTGTTGTTTAGGGTGCAAGTTCCATAAATGATCAGAATCATTTCTCTGCTATAAGTATTATATATGCTCTTGTTGGAGGAAAAAAAATCATTGATCAATTTGTACATCAGAATAAATCCTGTGCATCAATGCATTTAAATCAATCTGGCATGAACCAGTTCTCCCTTAAATCACATGAACAAGCCAAAGTTATGTATATTATAAGTCCTTTATCTCTACATGAACAAGTCTATGTGACTGCATGAACAAGTCTATGTGGCTGCATGAACAAGTCTATGTGACTGCATGAACAAGTCTGTATAAATAACATGAACAAGTCTATGTGACTGCATGAACAAGTCTGTATAAATAACATGAACAAGTCTGTAGAAATTAACAAGTCTGTTTAAATTTCATAAAATCTGTATAAATTACATGAACAAGTCTGTATAAATTACATGAAGTCTGTATAAATTACATGAACAAGTCTGTATAAATTACATGAACAAGTCTGTATAAATTACACGAACAAGTCTGTATAAATAACGTGAACTCTGTATAAATTACATGAACAAGTCTGTATAAATTACATGAACAAGTCTGTATAAAATAAATAACATGAACAAGTCTGTATAAAATAAATTACATGAACAAGTCTGTATAAATTACATGAACAAGTCTGTATAAATTACATGAACAAGTCTGTATAAATTAACAAGTCTGTTTAAATTACATAACAAGTCTGTATAAATAACATGAACAAGTTTGTATAAATTACATGAACAAGCCTGTATAAAATAAATTACATGAAAAGTCTGTATAAATTACATGAACAAGTGTATTACCGTGCATCAACCAGTTATCTTATCATTGCATGCAGCTATCCTATAACATTTCTTGAACAGGTCCTCTATCATTCCGAGAAAGAATCCTCATTCATTGCTTGTTCTACATATATTTTTGCAATTGTCAGCTGCCTATTAACAGCATTGAGTTGAATTGTAACATTAGTTCTCTACTCCTGCATGAACGAGTCCTACGTTACATCACAGCCCTGAATCCCTAACGATAACTTTGTGCTAATTAACCTCCACCAAACAGCAAATGGCCATTTCCAGAGATTCGTCTCGGATAATGCAACATTTCATGATTAGCTACGGCTATACTGAACTACACAGTGGGGCACGGAAACCTGTACGCTACGGCTATACTGAACTACACGGTGGGGCACGGAAACCTGTACGCTACGGCTATACTGAACTACACAGTGGGGCACGGAAACCTGTACGCTACGGCTATACTGAACTACACAGTGGGGCACACAAACCTGTACGCTACGGCAATACTGAACTACACAGTGGGGCACGCAAACCTGTACGCTACGGCAATACTGAACTACACAGTGGGGCACGGAAACCTGTACGCTACGGCTATACTGAACTACACAGTGGGGCACGGAAACCTGTACGCTACGGCTATACTGAACTACACAGTGGGGCACGGAAACCTGTACGCTACGGCTATACTGAACTACACAGTGGGGCACGGAAACCTGTACGCTACGGCTATACTGAACTACACAGTGGGGCACAGAAACCTGTACGCTACGGCTATACTGAACTACACAGTGGGGCACGGAAACCTGTACGCTACGGCTATACTGAACTACACGGTGGGGCACGGAAACCTGTACGCTACGGCTATACTGAACTACACGGTGGGGCACGGAAACCTGTACGCTACGGCTATACTGAACTACACGGTGGGGCACGGAAACCTGTACGCTACGGCTATACTGAACTACACGGTGGGGCACGGAAACCTGTACGCTACGGCTATACTGAACTACACGGTGGGGCACGGAAACCTGTACGCTACGGCTATACTGAACTACACGGTGGGGCACGGAAACCTGTACGCTACGGCTATACTGAACTACACGGTGGGGCACGGAAACCTGTACGCTACGGCTATACTGAACTACACGGTGGGGCACGGAAACCTGTACGCTACGGCTATACTGAACTACACGGTGGGGCACGGAAACCTGTACGCTACGGCTATACTGAACTACACGGTGGGGCACGGAAACCTGTACGCTACGGCTATACTGAACTACACGGTGGGGCACGGAAACCTGTACGCTACGGCTATACTGAACTACACGGTGGGGCACGGAAACCTGTACGCTACGGCTATACTGAACTACACGGTGGGGCACGGAAACCTGTACGCTACGGCTATACTGAACTACACGGTGGGGCACGGAAACCTGTACGCTACGGCTATACTGAACTACACGGTGGGGCACGGAAACCTGTACGCTACGGCTATACTGAACTACACGGTGGGGCACGGAAACCTGTACGCTACGGCTATACTGAACTACACGGTGGGGCACGGAAACCTGTACGCTACGGCTATACTGAACTACACGGTGGGGCACGGAAACCTGTACGCTACGGCTATACTGAACTACACGGTGGGGCACGGAAACCTGTACGCTACGGCTATACTGAACTACACGGTGGGGCACGGAAACCTGTACGCTACGGCTATACTGAACTACACGGTGGGGCACGGAAACCTGTACGCTACGGCTATACTGAACTACACGGTGGGGCACGGAAACCTGTACGCTACGGCTATACTGAACTACACGGTGGGGCACGGAAACCTGTACGCTACGGCTATACTGAACTACACGGTGGGGCACGGAAACCTGTACGCTACGGCTATACTGAACTACACGGTGGGGCACGGAAACCTGTACGCTACGGCTATACTGAACTACACGGTGGGGCACGGAAACCTGTACGCTACGGCTATACTGAACTACAAATGTTAGACGAGTCGTTGACTCAACTTTGTCATCAAGTGTAAATAAAGACTAGTATGAATAAAAGTTTGACAGCGGTTTTGAGAACACAATCTTCTTAGAATAAGCACCATTTTCCGATTTCCTTGTGACAATATATTTTGAAACAGATATATACTAATATATTCCTTCTGTATTACAAATATTGAGATAGGCACTTAGTGTATCTTCATTTTACATCCCTAATTTTTCACTCTCCTATAGGCCTGGTAAATTTTGGAACAAGCTTTTCACCACAATACCAGTCATAGTGAATATTATCACGACAATCTTGATACTCATACGTTCCACAAGATGTTCTGTTTTTAACCAGTATCGTGAATCTGTGGTGTAACCCACCTTGAAGTCTATGACGTCCCTGTCCAGTTCTGAACATGACATCACAAAGGAACCATAGATCAGGTCCAGTACACTCTGCCGATTGAGCTATATAGCTGTAAAGACCTATAATAGCTCTATTGACCTATCTGAAATAGGTCTTTTGAGCTATTTTCAAGTGATTTTCTTTTTTAAGGAAAACGGAACAAAGTTGCATTTAAAAAAAGATTGTATCATTAGGTTGATAACAAAACACATTAAATATAAGTATTCTTTTTAAAAAATAATGATGTAAAGAAATCGGAAATTTTACATTTATGAAAACTGAAACTAAACATCTAAATGTATGCTTTTTGTAGTCAACATTACCATAAACCTTACTGTTTTATGCGACTTTGCTTTAATTTAATAAAATTTGAAATCTGAGAAAATATAGCTCAATACAGCTATAATTTATAGGTGTATATAGCTATATAGATCTTTATAGCTCAATCGGCAGAGTGTACTGGACCTGTAGATGTCTCAATAACCTCTCACAATTACACTTAGGGATAACCATTATACACAGTACTGTGAGTTTTAAATCACTCTTTAAATATGGCAATAAACGACATGAATTAGTTTGGTTTGTGATTTATTAGATATAATCACATTTTTTGCGATAGATTAACTGATCAATTTGGTTTGTGACCTTACCTGCTATATCTTCTCCCTGTTCCACTTCATATTCGTCATCCAGGAATCGGAGTGAAGATTCGGAAATGTGCACCTTCCCCGGTAGGCCGGAGGACTCCATTGTATTGGCCAGGGTGACATCATTTGACCAGACATCGAATTTGAACCTACGGGTCCCGACAATACCACAAAGAACTTTGCCTGTGTGTACCCCGACCCTCATACCAACCGATTCGTTGTTGTCCTCGTCGAACTGTTGTATAGCGGCGATCATTCCGATGCCCATTTCGATACAACACTTGGCGTGATCTTCTCTCCCTTGTGGACAGCCTGACACACAGTAGTAACAGTCACCAAGGGTACTAATTTTTTCACAGCCATTTTCCTGACAGAGTTTGTCAAATCTACCGAACAAATCATTTAACAATCCCACCAAATGTTCGGCTGTTTTGTTGGAACTCATCTTGGTAAAACCGACGATGTCTGCGAACAGAATACTGACGTTGTCCATACTGTTCATGTTGAACGGTCTGAATACAATGACACCCTTCTCTTTCTTGGTCTTGGAATTTCTCTTTCCTTGACCCGGATCTACTTCGTCATCTGTCTTATCCTCTCGCGTGGCCATTACCTCATCAGCCACCTTCTTGGGCATAAGAGAATGGATCATCTGCTCCTGAACCTGCTTTTCTTTGTGCAGTTCTCGTCTTGCCATCACCGACTGACCAATTTTCCAAAATGTGCTTCGTCGTCTAACTTGTAACATAATGAAAATGTGGATACCTATTAAATGAATACAAAGATGCAGAATAATTTTACCAATTATGAATGTAATCTTCTGTGTTTCCGGGTGTTGAAGGGTTATAAGAACTTCGTAAATTATGGAATGCACCACACCAATTCCAACTGAAACAAATAGAGGCATCGGAATGACGGTGTACATCATGAGGATGACCTCTATCGACGCTGTGAACATCGCCACAGTTGTTAATTCTGTCTCCAGACCAAAATGAAGTAGAACTCCGATACATAATGTAAGTGACACTAAAATGGAAGTTTGAAAGTAAAATCGCTCGTAGAATTTAGTGAAAGTAAACCAAAGTACCAACGCGACTAAAGCCAGTATCACCAATGTTCCTGCTAGGAAATACAACCACTGCTGTACCTTTGCTGTCCCAAAGAATACACACCAAGCGATACTCGCAACAATGATGTAACACAGTGCGTATTGGAACCTTCTTCGTGTCTGAGGAAAGTAACTTTCCCATTGTTGAGCTTCAAGGGCTTCTGAATCAAACTTTGGGTTCCACCAACTTCCAGATGCTCTTTCAAACAAACTTGGCATGCCTCCTTTAGTGTTTTCCCCTGTTGCAGTGATCTCCCCCATTTCAACCTGCCCCTCCGAATCCTCCTTGTCGGAGCCGCCAGCACCATAATGAACACTTACTTCCATGTTCTGAGATTTACCATTACTCGACATACTTCGGGGCAGAAGTTGAATCAATTAGGAAACGTAATCCCGGCAGGTACCCGTCAGGTTTTAAAACTTTAAACTGTAGCCGGCATGTTGTCTGGCTGCTAAACCAAATAAAGAAAATCATACCTGCACATGACTTCACAGATTCCTCTTTAAAACCAGACTAGGAAACATCCACATGCGTTAAATACACAATCGTGTACGCGGTGTGTATTCGGCGGTCCACTTCCTCCACACACGCACAATACACGATTCACTTTTTTTCACATGGAGCAATGCCTCTGATTCTACAAACACCCGGCCTAAGCCTTCACATCAACTTCTGAACAACGACCTTAAGTCCACTTCATTCCATTAATTAATTATTAATCCCGCTTAGTTATGTACATAATGACGACTTGGAAAGCCCCGACAAACATTACACTGTCGTTGTATTTTCTTCTCCGGGTCGGCAGACTGCTGTGTGTGTTGTTTTGTGTTGGAATAAGGTCAGATAGCGGGAGTGAGGTTAGATGATGGAACAGCCATACACACAACTCGCTACAACGACTGCTCCCTCACAGCCTTGGTCCCATCATCGCCTACTATCGGGGTCTCTCTCGTGTCAGTAATTAAGCTATGTTTTAACATTATACTACATCAAGGCCTTTACATTTCTTATAAAGGAGATCACATTTTAGATCAAATTAAAATAATTGAAGAGATATTGGTCTCTACATTTACGTGTACATATGTACCTGGAAACACGTATACGCTAATGTTATATTGTAGCTACACAGTCCAGCACAGTTTTGGTCCATAATTAAGTTTGTAAAGTATTCACTGAATTCATATATCTGTCAATCATTATTTCTGAGTAATAATAGATATTACTACGATATTTTTCATTTCCTCGTTCAGAAAAAAAGACGTTTCAATTTAGATAATAATACGCTTGTAAAGTAAATAAAGAAAACGAAATTAACAGCTACGTTTAAGTAAATTAAATATTATTATTATATATTGTATACATACACATATGTAACAATTAATTCATTTTCAATATGCAGTAATTACACATACCACCTACAAAGATTAATAACATTATCATTTTTTTAAGAAAATGGATACATTTTTTAATTGCTTCATTTATTACATTAGAAACGTATAAAACCAACATCTAACGTTAAACGTCTCTGATTACACTTTGAGAAAACAGCCCATTTATTTTATGAGACATTGGGTTGTAAATTCCTAAACGGCTAAACAAACGCCTATAAGTATGACATGTTTTGCTAATTGCTAACTGTTCCACTATGCACTATTAAGATAAACCTGATATAGGGCTAGTAGTACGACCCTGTGACACGCATATATAGACTGTATTAGAACGTGCCCTTGCATGCCTCTGGTATTGACAAATATTTACAAATATTGACGGGATGGTATGTAAATAATACTTGTCTACTACTATACACTTCACACCTTACTGTGTGTGGACGTGACCGCCGAGGTGTACACTTGATATCAGCGACACACTCTCAATATACAGAAAAATTTAAATTAAAAGTAAACACTGACAAATTATATGTCAGCAAAATTTCTTCTTAGATATGTAATTCCGTGGATATACTCGGTGTTTTTTTGTAAGTTAGATCACGAAACAAACAAAAATATGTTGTGTTCGGACATTTCTAAGTATCATCGACGCAAAAATGCCAACATACTCTAATAAAGAGGTAAATGGTGACCGGTCCCAAACGTAGTATTACGAGCAATCCATAGTCCTCACCTCCGGACATTAACAAAGGGCCATAACTCTGCATAAGTGGATTTCAGTATACGTACCGATCATACAGAATCAGACAATGGCAGGCGATAGAGTATGATACAGGATTCGGATAAAATGATGCACGGACACAATGACGGACAGAATACAATTCTATTTAGTCCAGTACCGTTGAAGGCATAAAAAAACAAAGATTTTCGCTGAAACTCACGCTATTGATAAATGTTTTTTGTTACGAAAGGTTATCAAAAAACATTCTATGAATATTTCACATCATTTATTATTTCATCACACAAAGCATGTCTGTTAGTCAAAATCTCCTTTTCAGCTCTAAAGAAAGAGAACCCACTCTGAACACCTATTGCGTGTCTAAACATGTATCACACGACTGTCCAATGGTATATCTTATTTGCTAACACATCCCCATTAAATCTTGCTGAAAGACACGATTAACAACACCCCGCCCGTCCTCACTGTGTACATCATTACCTACATCAAACAAAGTCTACGTATTAACTAATGGACCGCGGGGCAAGTTTTGTCTTTTCTTCACACGGAGTATTTCTGGGCTAACGTTTTCTCGTTTCCATTCCGTACCTTATTTGTTATAGATGAGGGTGTCAAATATCTTCATTAAACTTGTATATCCTATCTTGGTATTGAATCGTTAACGACAATTTATCATTCAGCTTATATACTTTATATGTATTCCTGATATACCCGACCGCATGTATTATGTTAGCTGTGTCAGTACATTTTGACGCTAGCACTCTGACGCTCTAGAACTTGCACTGTCAAAGTCATGCGCGACTTCGTATCGCAGCATTAAAAAGGAAGATAACAATGTGGAGGAGATGCTTTTATTTTAAGTTAGAATTATTTTTTAGTAATAATTAAATATCCATACATTTTTGGATATTTGTTTATTGGGGACCAATAATTCAGAGGATTAACGAGGCTCTACTATTAATAGTTTTTCTCACGTTGAAAAACCTTCATGTCAACCTCTTACCGAGTCTGTAATTGTATAACGACACAACCTAAACCCCTGTATTGTTAGCCGACTTAAATCTGGCCCGTCCTTGACCAAGGATTTAAAACATATAAACTATATTTAGCTATTTGTTACTAAATTTAGACATGCTATTTATTATACTGTCGTTCGAAATAAAATATGTTTTTGTCCATTCAACTTAACTAAAAATTGATATTTCTTACCTATGACTGTTTATAAATAACAATTCACAAAGTAAATATACTCGTGGGGGGTAACAAAATCACTGTTTAAAACTGTAAATATAAAAAATATGTGTATGTATTTATTTTGGAAATAATGTGATTTGAAACTTGGCTTTACGAAGTGTTAAGATAACAAATCTTTTAAAACCTCGATGCTGACATTTCTATAAATACAACTGTAACGATGCATAAGTGTACTCGGTCTCTGATAATATCTGGCTGTGTATTTAAAGTCACGCCAAATCACGTGACTAAGAAAGATTTAAATATTTAATATTATAAAAACTGTATACAATTCACAGAATGCCCCATAGACTCCCACGTTTTATAATCAGATCAGCATATTTCTAAAGCGGCAATAAAAATCGAATGAAAATATTGAAAATCACTTCATTTTCGCGAGTGCTTATTTTGCTATTGTAAGCGTCTGCATAATCTTATAGACTTATGTTAATGATCTGACGACATGAGCCACGTTTGACAGACTTGGATAACTTTCATTACAAAAAAACCCGACTCAACCATGCCTTAATAATTCTCATTCACCCCCGAAATTTCATAATGAACTATTCCAGCCTTTGACTTGGAAGAGCTCAAATGTGTCTTCAGGGGTGAATGAGTTATACAAAAAATTGGGATGCGCAGTATAGTCTGGTCCTTAACAAACATGTTTTTGAGTCCGTAGGATTTTTTTCATGAAATATTCTAGATAATTTGCGACCTAAAATGTATGGTAAACGTTTTGCTTGCGACTGGACCCATATATGACGTCATCAAATATGGCGGCGTTTAAATTGTTAAAATTAGCTTACATACTATTTAAATAATATATGGATGGTCGGATGGCACAGTGGATAGCGCACTTGCCTTTCACCAAGGTGGCTGGGGTTCGATTCCCCGATCGGACCTGGAAAGGTATGGGGGTCATCTGCCCGACCACGTGGGTTTTCTCCGGGTACTCCGGTCGTAAAATAAACTTTATATATGAATTATATATAAATGCTTAGGGCATTGAGTAGATATTATATGTGTAAGTAAACATAAATATAAACTTATGTTTTAGAATAAAATAAATACAATGATTTTTGAAGTAAGGACTGAGTATATATTTACAATGTGAAGCTAATTCGTTTTGTACTGAGTCAAACCTAGCTTTCTTTGAGATATTTGATAAAACCCTGTTGTATAATACTTCCTCTCAGAACATCGTAACCATTGCGTTAATGACAGGATGGCCGTCATATTCCGCCGTTTTACGACCCCTCGGCTCACTGATAAGTTTTGCATTAAGATGCCTTTAGGTCAGACCTACATACATTGCTGTATTTGAATAAAATCCGTTTGATCCCTTCCGAGTTATTGGCCATGGGGGTCAAATGAGGGGCAGTAAAGTGACATATCGCTCGTTCATTCAAAATATAATGTTATAATCGAAGTAAATTATTCAGATATGTTTTCACAATAAAACATCAATAAAATGTAATCAAAACAAGAATAAGTTGCCTTTAATTTCATTCAAAGTGAACTCTCATTTTGACCATTAAACTTTCTTCAAATGACAATAAAATTAGAACTATAAATGCGCCTTGTGCTATGCCTGTCAACACCCAGAATGAACATCTATACATACTAGGTCCTATAGTGTTCCTCTGTTCTGGCAGAAGTGAATGGGGTGTCGTTTACTTAATATATCTCTATGGGCAGGTCATTTTACGGTTGTTCTTTAGCTACAGACTTTAGAAAACTGAAGAACATGTACTCCTTCCTCACTTTGGAGCTTACCTTAGGTTTATTACCAAATAGTCAAACAAAGGGCCAAGAAAAGACGATATCGGTTTCCTGTTGCAAGAGGCATTATAAAGTTCCATTATAAGTGCCCTGCGCAATAGAGATGAGATATCCTTTCATATATTCAAACAAACGTCATCAAGAATCTCAAAATGAGGATGTAGTTTGCTAAAAATTCAGAAAACTTCAAGTTACATAGAAATCATCACGCAGATTCCGAATCGGACGATGTTTTACCACAGTCTAAGCATGCAAAATTAATATCGAAATGCCTCGGGCATCATTTTCGGAGTCGAAGCGCTTTATCTGTAAAGCAAATCGACCGAACAAATATACCTCAAAATGAAAAGCTTTTCCACAGAAATGCAAACAAACGTATTTATCAGATCAGGTTTATTTATTCCAAGTAATTGCAGATGATGTTTCTCTCATTTTCTTGATGGCGAAATCCCAAATGAAGATCGTTCAAAATGTACATCTAACCCAGGAGTCGACTGAAATGGAAACTCGCTACGACAGGTTTTATCCAGTAAACGTTTGGACTTTGAATTTTCAGACGGACTGAGAGACGAGATGACTGCCTCTGTCTGGTCTAAAACATCAGTTCTCCAAGCATTTTACGACGGTGTAATCGGTTATTCACACCCTACTAATCGTAGTTCTGGAACTGCGGTTGCCCTGCT